AATTAAGACATCAAAAAGAGACTTTGACTTGGGCGATTTCGAGGAATTGCCTGCCGTCTGTCTTTGACTTTGTCTGTGGCTTGTGTTTTGGTTTCTATAGATCGAAGATATAGTACCACATGGGCTGGACTAAATGAACAGTTGAGGTGAAAATAATAGAACTGAGCAGTTGAGTTTTGTATTTAAAGGAAATGGTACTTAATATCAAAATAATATTTTCATTTTGAAACAATATTTCCTCAAATGTCATTACAAAACACTATAAAGATTAAGAGATCGAAATTTAGTTCCTTTTCTCCCTCAAAAAAGTTATAATTTTCCCCATTAGTGTATGGGTACTCTCCCACTCCCACAATTTGAACCTCCCAATCTCTTCCTGCCATTGACATCAGCAACTTTGGGTTGAACCAAGTGAACTAAATTAGTTTTGCTCGAAATAAGAACTTCTGTTCGAAGGCTATGGGTTTGAGTTGTTCGATAATACGAAGGGAAGAGTGAAGAGAAGGAGCTATGGTACAGAATATAAAGTTAAGAGGTTGAAGAAGAGCCAAAATTGCTTATCCCCGGATCGAAGGAATTCTACTCTCCGGGTTCCCATAGAGACAACTGAAAAAGAGGTGCTGACTATAGGAATCGAAGCTAAAGTTGGCGAAAAAGAGCTGTGGATTCGGCGAGTAAATCACGAATAGCTTGGAAGCCCCCAAGATATGAGAATGTTGATTATTTACACGGACACACGGCGCAAAAAAAGAATCGAAACACAAATCTGCTGAAACTTCCTCCTCCTCCTCCTTAATTCTTCCTGCTGGCCAAGTGTGAAGTGAAATGAAATTTGCGAACTTTGCGCTCTTTGCATTCGCTTCCCAACCGCAGAGGGGCCTTCTTTTCTTTGATTAATAACAATTGATAAGCCCGGAGTTGGCCCAGAGACCTGGCCGCTTGCCCGAGCTGCTGATGGCGTTGATTACCCGTGCCAGGTCCTGTAGACTCCAGTTCCCAGTCCCCAACCCACCTTCCTCTCGAGATCGCACTCCCAGCCCCGGAAACCCAAGGCAAGGTGGCAAAATTTTCGCGCGAAAATGAAGATTTCTCTTATCACAATTGGCAGCTGCAGAAGTATTACCCTTGGGTCCCCGCTTCCCCCTGCCTTTTTTTGGGCTGCTCACTCACGTTTTTCAATTTCTGTTCTCCCCCCAAAAAATCCCGATCATCGATAGCGAGTCCAGAAATTTGTTTAATTATACTCCATTGGGAATTTCCAAGGCAGTAGTCCGCGCACATTTTCAGTGACTAATGAGGCAGTGGAGCCGCGAGGAAGAAAAATATTTGAAAAATCACAGCAGCAGAGTGGCAGAGTTTTAAAAGATTTAATAACAGAAACTGATTACTATTAGGAAAATATTGCACAGCCAGTATCATGTCATTAAATGCTATGTTTTCTGTGTATTATAACTATAACTATAGAACTTGCTAACAAACATAAACTTTACCTAATAAAGATTTAACATCAGGAGTAGATACCATTTTAGAATCATGCTACAAAAACTAAAGGTATAGTATTTTTTCCATATGATGTTTACAGTCAGCTGAAGATAGCGATTTCACGACTCTCATTTTCTTTAATATTTTTCAGACCTGTACAAAATATTCTAAGTTATTGTTATGAGACGTAGTGGGCTACCAATTAAAAAGCTATACTTAATTATTAATATTCGGGCATAAGTAATATATAAAATGGGAAACCTTTCTGTGAGACCAAATTCGAATATAATTACCCTCCTAACTTGTATCCCTAATTATTGAGTCTAATTTCGCCCCATCAACCCTCTCATTACGCATACGCCCCTAGTGGCAGCCAGAGAACTCTAAGTACTGGACCCAGCCAGACGCATTGGCGACTGGCTCCCGCCATCCTAGGCTGCTGAGGATTATTCACCATCTTCTGGAAGATCTGGCCATGATTGCCAGTTTCGTTTTCGCTAAGTTGAAGCTTTTTTCTTCGATTTCGGGTTAACTGACCCCGAAACGATTAGCAGCGACGGCGGTCCGCGGGTTGAAAGCCAGCGACAAATGAACAAAGGGTCGATCCTGGGGATCTGCTCCTTCTCTGGGCTCCTTGCTCCCTGCTCCCTGCTCCTTGCTCCTCTTTTCCTTTTTCTGGCCGAGATCGGGACCTGGGCCAAATTGTTCGATTGTTTATGGCTGCCAACAACGCCCACCGAGTGGAGTTGCGGCCAAGTGAGAAACCAGCAACAATCATCTGCCGGCTGATAAAGTGCCAGGTATCCCCGGCCCACCTGTATCCCCTGAATTCCCCTTCCCCTTTTTTGTGTCGCTTATCGGCGAGGATCGATCGCAGCTCTCCAGCGAGAAAAAGAGAAGAGAGACCTGAAGCTGAAGACGGCGGCCGAGCTGATTTAACAAATTGATAAACAATTGTTGGCGTTGGCCGCAGGGGGGTTTTAGAGGGGATATAGGGGGGACATAGGGGGCTTTAGGGGCATACCCCTCGTCTTCTACCCACCGAAAGGTGTGTGGGGCGGCGTAACGTTACGAAACGGCTAAACAAACGATCGCCCGATCGCAGTTTCAGCGAAGACTGCATGTTCCCAGATCCCAAATCGATTTCGTATGCGAATGCGTAGCCTTGGAATTCCTCCACGCACTGAGGGATACAAATATGAAAGGGGTTTCATCCTTCAATATTAAGTTGGTTTTGATCAAATATTCTTGGTTATGATTCACTTTGCTTAGTACTAATAAGTTGTATTTACAACACTAAGAATATTTTTGAAATGTAATGGTTTTTCCTTTTACCTATTCCTGAATCGTTGAGAAAAACGTAATATAACAGAATCAAGAAATAATAGTTATCCCTACCACTCGTATATTACTATTTTCTACAAATCAAATTTTAAAACTTGAGTTACAAGGAATAATTTCATGGAAATTACACATCTGTTAGTTCAGGTTAAGAGATTTACACATTATGTATTTCTCTCCATTTGAAACCTCCTAATCTTGAGTCTGCAAGCGATTCCACTGCTCAGAACCGAAACCGCACAACAATGAAAACGAGGAGAGGGTGTTGCGATGGCACTCGCGAGACAATCGCTGGGGGAGATCTGCTGCACCAACCGCTGAACCAAGAGAGATCCCGGCCTGGCTAATCCTCCTCGGCTGTCGCCGGGGGCAGAGAGCCAGGGACTCCGAACCAAGAGCTCTGGGGATCGGGATCCAAGAGCCAGAACCGAAAGGCCATTGTTAGCTGTTAGTCTCCCGTTCGCACTCTATCGGCGCTCGGCCATCTCCCCATCGCCCCCCCTTTTCCCCTGGAAGAGGCCTCTTCTCCCGGACAAAACACTTTACGTGTGCGGCTTATCGCCACCCAATCGAAGGCAATAAATATCTTACAAATAAGCAGAATGCCTCGGAATGCCAGCAGAGCCCTTTATTTTTTCGGCGGAAGGGGGGCCAGCGGGGTGTTGCGATTGCGATTCTTCTAACCGATTGCTCACGTGCAGAATTGTGTGAATTCGTGAAAAATCGACGGCGGCAATTAGGGCGGGCCGTCAATAGTTTGGCAACAGTTGCAACATTTGTTGCAGTGGCAGTGGCAGCGGCAACACAAACAGCAGCAATCAAAAGACTCAGGCAACGAACTTGGTGTCCACAGTAAGAAATTGCGTTTGATTTAGGAAACCATAAAAGAGGTAATGATAGTCCGAAAAAAATAAGTTTCTTAATAGCACATTGGGTTTTATCTAACTAAATACAATGTTCTGTTCATTTTCATTAATTTATCATTCTGAACATGTTTACTTCATGTTAACTTTCTCTTACATATAAAAAACTAGAAATATAACACTATGACAATATTTCACGGGTTTTTTTTTCGATAGAGCATACATTTTCTTTCAGTTCAGTGAGAAAATAGTTCAAGCACCAAGTAAATGTTTTCCTCTGTAGAATTCTCTTCATTTTTCCGTTGCCTGCAATCCAGTCGCTCTGCATGTGCTGACATTTCAATAGCCATCAATTGACAGGTCAACGCGCATCTCTCCAGCCTCCCATCCGCCAAGGGAAACCATGGGCGGCCGGGAGAGGACGGAGCCCAGAAGGGGGACTTTTGGGAGCTGTGGCCCGCACGAGCAGCGCAAAATGTTCGCTGCGGTCGAGATGTCGAATTTCTGGCGAAGCGAGATGCAAACTGCAAACTGCGACGCTTATCCGGCGGCTCCATCTGCATGCCATGTGTGTGCCATGTCCACGTCCACTTCCACTGTCCACTGTCCACTGTCCGCCGCCATAATCTCGGCCAGCATCGCCGTTGGTCGTTATAATATTTCGCCGTGGCCAAAACAGAAACAAATCAGATGTCAGTTCGGGGATTCTGGCCAACTTCGAACTTTTGCTGCGATCCGTGGGCCCTAATCATCAGTGGCCATTGGCCACCATGCGCTTTTCTTTCCAGCTTCTCTCCTTCCCCATCCTTTTCCACCAGCGTTTTCCACGTAAGAGATGGCCAGCGTGGATAACCGGCCCCTCCTCTGCTGCTCCTCCATCTGGGCAGCAGCAGCAGCTTGTCCAGCCGGCTCTTGTCGCATTGTTTTCACAGCTCTGACCACTGACAATTTGTTCGATAATAATTGCCAAAGCAGCTGTCTGACACATAGATTCCTCACGGGCGGATGGGATGGCAGAGATGCGGATGGGATGCGGATTCTGGGAACCCAATTTGAGGCACTAAACTGCCATGTAACTGTCTGACCCCAGAGCTGATTCCCAGGATTGTTCGGATTGGAAAAGAAGTTCTATAAGGTTTCTACTTTCATAAACTGGATTATAAGTTTATTTATTTAAAGTTTAAATGAAATGTTAGCTCTTGAAAAACAATTATTCCAGTTATTCGTCGCCTATTGGGTGGTATCTTACCTGTAACCATAAGCTAAATTAAATCAATCTAAATTATAATTTTAATTATCTTTCATTACTTACAGATTCCAAAGATCTGGCCGCTCAGGAAATGGGCGAAGAAAAGCAGCAGCAAATGGAGGATCAACTAGAGGATCAGATGGAGGATTCCAGAGACCCCCAGGAGAACAACAATAACAATATTGACGACGACGATGAAGATGGTGCCTTTGAGCAGCCAGAAGAGACTAATCCCGAGCAGGATCTGGACTTGGGAGAGACGGAGATGGAGCAGGACCACGATCTTCAGCCGGAGGAGCAGATTGAACTGCCTGCCAACAGTCCCAGCACTCCGCCCAGGAGTCCCAGCTCTCCGCAGCTGATTCCCAAACTGGAACAGCCCGCCACGCCGCCCTCGGAGGCGGAACCCTCTCCGTGTCCCTCGCCCTGTCCCCCCACGCCCACGCCCAAGTTCCCCAAGGTGCGTCTGAATGCACTCCTCGCCTCGGATCCTGCTCTCAAGCCGGATGCCAAGGAGCTGACGCTGCCGGACTCACGGCTGCTGGCTCCTCCGCCGCTCGTCAAGCCGGAGACCCAAGCCCAACCGGAGGAACCCCATCTAAAGCCAGCCAGATTCATGTGCCTGCCCTGCGGAATCGCCTTCAGTTCGCCCTCAACGCTAGAAGCCCATCAGGCCTACTATTGCTCTCATAGGATTAAGGACACGGACGAGGCGGGCAGTGATAAATCTGGAGCAGGAGGATCTGCAGCCACGACTGGCGAAGTGGGTTTATCCGGAGGCTCTGGCGAGCCACCAGCCAAAATCGCCAGGACAGGAAAGCAATACGGCTGCTCCCAGTGCTCCTACAGTGCGGACAAGAAGGTGTCCCTAAATCGCCACATGCGGATGCACCAGACCTCGCCGGCGGCTCCCACACTGGCCAGTTTGCCAAGTCTCCTCCAGAATGGAATACCACCGCCGGGTGTTACGCCAAGTTCACTGGAGGATAGCTCTAGTCAAGTGAGTAAAGTGTTGAGGTGCCAGATGCCCTGGATAATATATTATATTAACAATCCCATCCCTTCCAGCAGCAAACAGATCGCTACTGCAGCCACTGTGATATCCGGTTCAACAACATCAAGACCTATCGGGCGCACAAGCAGCACTACTGCAGTTCCCGGCGACCGGAGGGACAGCTCACACCCAAACCAGATGCATCTCCGGGCGCGGGGTCAGGAGGACCCGGTTCCTCTGGACCCGGAGGCTCTGGAGGAGTGTCTGCCCAGGCAGCTGCGCCCGGAAAGCTCAGTCCGCAGGCCAGGAACAAGACCCCAACTCCGGCGATGGTCGCTGTGGCGGCTGCAGCGGCGGCGGCAGCTGCCTCCCTCCAGGCCACGCCCCATTCGCACCCACCCTTCCTGGCACTGCCCACGCACCCGATCATCATTGTGCCCTGCTCGCTAATTCGTGCGGCCAGCTTTATTCCAGGACCACTGTGAGTTCTCAAAGAAAGATTAAACTTGATTAACTTGAGGTTTCTCAAATATTCGAGAAGAAACGGTCTTGAGATCAAGGCAAAAGTAATATCGAGTTTTTATTTTTATGGAAAGCAATCTTGATACAGAGCCAAAATTAGTTTCGACTTTATTTTTCGAGACGCAAATATTCTCAGAAACCGAAAACCCTTCATCTCAATTTTGAGAACTTGAGAGTGAATAGATCTTGGCTTTTTAGATCTAGAGAACTTTTTTGCTGAGCATTTAGAAAAATTAATAATAATATAACAATTATAGTATATTAAATGGTTTTATTTAATTTGAAACTGCAGGCCCACTCCAAACTCGGGAATTGTGAATCCAGAGACCACCTGCTTCACCGTGGACAATGGAACGATCAAGCCCCTGGCCACTGCCCTCATCGGCGCTTCTCTGGAGCCCGAACGTCCCTCAGCTCCCTCTTCGGCTGCTGAGGCCACAGAGCCCAAGAGCAGTCCACCGGAACCCAAACGAAAGGAGGCAGGAGGAAGTCGGTAAGTGGCTATCCAAGAGAATTTAAAATAAACAATTTCAGAATTCCTAATAACAAATCCTTAAATAACACAAATATCCCAATTTTTCATATCCAGCGAATCTGCGCCTTTGGATCTCTCGCTGCGTCGATCGCCCATCTCCCTGAATTCCCTGAGCTTGCGACAGCGCCAACTGCGCAATGCACTGCTCGATGTGGAGGAAGTCCTTCTCGCCGGCGGAGGAGGAAGTGTCAAGGACAACGCAGAGACTCCGCGAGGAGGCGGAAGTGTGACGCCCGAGCAGATTGTGTGCGCCCCCTCCCTGCCGAGCAGTCCTTCGATGAGTCCCTCGCCCAAGCGACGAGCCATTAGTCCACGCAGTTCTGGGGCTGGCAGTGCCTCCTCCATGTCGCCACCTGGTCTCAATGTGGCTGTGCCCCACATGCTCGACATGCGCTCCATGCTGCCGGCGGACTTTGGCCTCTCCGAATCGCTGTTGGCCAAAACCAATCCGGAACTGGCTCTCAAACTGGCGGCAGCAGCTGCCGCGGCTGCTGTCGCGGGCAGCAGTGGGGCAGCAGCCTTTCCGCCATCACCCCTTCCTGCCCAGACAAGTGGCGGAAATCCTGGCGGCGGAGGAGCTGCAGGTGGCGCCCAGCAGCCGCAAATCTACGTGAAGAAGGGCGTGTCCAAGTGCATGGAGTGCAATATTGTGTTTTGCAAGTACGAGAACTATTTGGCCCACAAGCAGCATTATTGCTCGGCTCGGAGTCAGGAGGGAACGGGTGAAGTGGATGTCAAGTCGGCCGTTTCACCATCCAATCCAGGAGCTGGAGGACTGGGAGCTGGCGGGTCAGAGGCAGCTTCGTCGGTCGAAACCACTCCGGTGGCCTACCAACAACTGATCTGTGCCGCCTGTGGCATCAAGTATACCTCCCTGGACAACCTGCGGGCCCATCAGAACTACTACTGTCCCAAGGGAGGAGCAGCTGCTGCCACCGCCGCTACGCCCTCAGATCCTGGGCAACTGGCCCTGGTGAAGGAAAAGTGCGGAAAGTGCAAGACCCTGCACGAGATTGGGCTACCTTGTCCACCGCCTGTCACAAATCCCCTCGCAGCACCCACCACCAACTCCCAGCCCGCCTCCAATAGCCTGAACAAGTGTCCTGTGTGCGGAGTAGTCAGTCCCACGGCGGCGCTGGCCAAGAAGCACATGGAGATGCACGGCACGGTGAAGGCCTACCGCTGCAGCATCTGCCAGTACAAGGGGAACACCCTTCGCGGCATGCGCACCCACATTCGCACCCATTTCGACAAGAAGACCAGCGATGTGAACGAGGAGCACTACATGACCTGCATCTTCGAGGAGGAGGGTTCCACACTGACCCAAGAGCTGTCTCCTGCAGCTGGAGCATCTGCAACAGTTGCCCACGATTCCATGGATCATCCCTCACAGATGTTTAACTGCGATTACTGCAACTATGCCTCCACCTACAAGGGCAATGTGGTGAGTACTCCATTATAACAGTGCTCTTAGAATTAATTACTGACTGGAGGTTTTATTCCACAGCTGCGTCACATGAAGCTGATGCATCCGCATGTGGCCATCAACTCACCTTCGATTTCCCCCGACACCAGAGATCAGGATGCGACCTCGAACCCCACTCCCAACCTACACTCGAATTCCGATGGTTCAAATGGTGAGGCAGCCAGGTAAGGACGGCAGGAATCTGCAATCAACTGGGTTAGTTGGGAGAAGGATCTAGAGAATGTTTAAATGTTTTATTGAAAAAAGAGCTAAAAGTCGTTTAAGTCCCTTATTTGCTAGGCAATATTAATCAATTAATTTTACCCTCTCTTCTTCCACAGCTTCCACATCAAGTCGGAGCCCCTGGATCCTCCGCCAACGCTGAGCCTGGTGCACGAGAACAACAACTCCCCGATTTCAACGCCCCACATCAAGGCTGAGCCCATGGAGATCGGTACGGATGTGACGCCTGGTGGGCTGGTTCCACCGATGGCTTCTCCTCTGGGAAACAGCAGCGTGGCCGCCGCAGCAGCTGCCGTTGCCGCCGCCGAGGTGATGAAGAAGTACTGTTCTACCTGCGACATATCCTTCAACTACGTGAAGACATACCTGGCCCACAAGCAGTTCTACTGCAAGAACAAGCCGATTCGCCCAGAGGCTAGCGATAGCCCCAGTCCGAATCACCTGGGCGGGGGCGTGGCCGTGGGCTTGGGCATCGGCGGAATCGTGGCTGGACATGGCCAGCAGAAGAACAAGGAGAACCTGCAGGAGGCGGCCATTTGAGAGAGCCAGCTGCGGTGGGAGGCGCAGCGCAAGCAGCTGGAATGGTATTACACCTGCTTCTGAGCGGCGGCGACCGAACCTAATCGAATCCTAAGCGTAGTCTCCTCCTTCAACGTGTAAACAATACAATTCGCAACCTGTAATGGACGACAGTATTCCCGGAGAATCTCCCTGTCGCTGCCCTCCACTTCCAAACGCCACTTGGGGACTGACTCCATCGACTTACCGATCGATAGCAGTATATATATACAACGTACACGCATATATAGTATACCTAAAGACATAAATATATAGATTACCTAGATATATGTAGGACGCAAACCCATGAAGTGGGAACCATGACATATAATGCATGCCAAAGCTTACCACTTAGACAGAAACTAAATCGAGGGCAAGAAACTACAAGTTTGCAATGGATGGCGGAGAAGAAGGAGGCGAAGTATTCCTATGTAGATCCAATATTATTATGTAAATGGCTCGCTGTTCCACGTAAAAGCGAGCGATTCCAACTGTGTAATTTAACTGACTACATTATTTATTAAGTGTGTGCGACAATAAAAGTAATTAATTTATTCAACAAAATATTTACTTTAAAATCAGAATTATTGGAAATCAATCAATTTGGGTTTTTAAATATTATTTTGCATTGTAACATTTTTGAAATCAACGGACTTTTCGGCGGAAACTTAACGGAAAGGCAGGGCTGCCATATCGATAGAAAATGTTAACTCACAAACATGGGCTGCCAGATCGATGGAAAAACATGCTGTTGGGCTGCCATATCGATAGAACAAGGTGCTCGTGGGCGTGTTTAATATTACCGTTAATTTGAAAACACGCGAAAAAATAAAATATACCTACTACTGGTTTATGTTCGCCTGGTTTCTAAAATCCAAAATGTACTCGTTTTCCTATATATTAGACCCCCGTAGAGCAGCAATTTGTGTAAAATTTACGGAATTCGTCACTCGAAATACCAGGCGAACAGAAAGATAAGCAAGTTGTTTTTTTAAAATGGCAGACTGTCGGCGACTGGAAAACAACCGTTAGTTGGAAAAGCTTGATTAGCCGATGGTGCTGCCAGATCGATGGAAAATCATGCAGCTGGATGCCAGATCGATAGAAAATTGTTGTTCGTGACGTAATGAATATAACTGTTAGTTTGGAAAGGATGTCAAGCTACTGAAATTTCTGTCCGCCTGGTACTTTAAATCGATTTTGCTCATCAAACTCGGTGAAACTTCTTGGCTCGGATCACGCGAAAGGACCAAATTTACCAACTACTGATTTATGTTCGCCTGCTTTCTAAAATCAAAAATATACTCGTTTTCCTTGTAGAAGACCCCCGTAAAGCAGATATTTAAGTCAAATTTCCGAATCTCGTCATTTGAAATACCAGGCGAACAGAAAAATAAGCAAGCTATTTTTCAAAATGGCCGACAGTCAGCGACTGGAAAACAACCGTTATTTAGGAAAGCCTTACCAGCTGGTGGTGCTGCCAGATCGATGGAAAAACATGCAGGTTGACTGCCAGATCGATAGAAAAAGGTTGTTCGGGAGCGTGAAAATAGAACCGTTAGTTAGGAGTCAACCTACTGAAATTTTCTGTTCGCCTGGTACTTGAAATCAATTTTGCTCAACGAAATCGGCGAAACTTCTCACATTTCTACAATGTTCAGGGAAAACTACAATTTTCAAATCAAATACTTGAACTTTTACAGCTAATACATTTTATTGACACGATATAGTTAAGTAGTAAGTAGTAGTTCAATAGATTGTAATCAATTTACACAACAAAACAGCTCGTTAAATAAATGGGAAAGTGTGGGAAAATGCATATTCACAATCGTCGCAAGTGTACGCAAAGATACAAAGATCTCGGGCTGGAAAGGAGTCTCGTCAGCGTCAACTGGCTGCCACGTAGCCACTTTGGGCATGACGCACCTCTCGGGCTCTCCAAAAACGTACAGAACTTAATCCATTTTATTCAGTTGATACAGTATACAATATAGCTGGTACTAAGCGATTGCGTTAAAAAATTAAATCAGATGATTTGTATTGAGTGTGCAGTAGAGTTCCGTCCAAAATTAGTGGTCTTATGTAGAAGATAATATGTGGATAGCATTCTCGAAAACGCTTACCGCCTAGATGTGTTTGTTTGTTAATGTCTATGTGGGATGCCGGGACGCCGTTGCCCAGGATGCAGACTACTCGGTGGCCGCCATGGCGCGGGCCTGGGCGCGAACGCGCTTCTCGTACTCCAGCCGGTTCTGGCAGTAGATGGTGTAGGCCTCCGCCTGGGCCGGGTCCTTGATGTTCGGCTCGTTGAGCAGGTCCTGGATGCCTAGCAGGATCTGCTTGATGGTGATGGCCGGGCGCCAGTCCTTCTCCTCGTCGAGCAGCGACAGGCAGACGGTGCCCGAGGGATAGACGTTCGGGTGGAACAGCGGCGGCTCGAACTTGCACTTGGGCGGCGAGGTGGGGTAGTCGTCCTTGAAGATCATGCGCAGCTTGTAGAGGCCGCCCTCCCAGGGAGTCGACTTCTTGCCGGGAATGGCGCACTCCCAGATCATCAGGTTGAGGGTGCCGTCGGGGTTCTTGGCGGGACGGGCGACGAAGCCGAAGGGGTGATCCTTCCGCCAGGCCTTTCGCTCCTCCCCCAACCGCGTGATTGCAATGCCGGACATGATCGGTGATTAGTTGGGTGCTTTTTCCTACTTCCGGTTCAAATGTATCCGCGTATCCTGCTTTTCTCGCGATCCCACTCTGCTTTTTGCACGCGCGTCTGTCTGCAAGAGTATGTGTGTGGGTAATTGCCTCCAAGCTCAGAGTTTCATCGGCTTTTCTCCCGTCAATCGGGAGTGCACCTACCTTTCCGCCGCTATTTGCACCTTAAGGAGACCTGGGCAAGTCTCTTTTTCTCTATGCGGTGGCGGATTTCACAGTTTTTGCAATTTCTAGCGCAATTTTTTGCAGGAAAGAACGCTTGTGCTCGCAAAAGGTGCAAATTTGCCACGCAAACGGTCGCACTAAATTGTTATCGATAACTTGGTATATTTGGTATGACCCTTTACCGAATCCCATATTAAAATACCAGATTTTTAATGTTTTAAGCGGTATACTAATTAAATATTTTAATTTTAAATTATGGTTACTGAGAACTAAGTGATAGCAAGCTCAGGTTTAAAATAAATCAATTATTAACATGCCAAACCATAAACAAAAAGCACCCTCTAAATTAAGTGCAACACATAACTTCCGATACGAAAACTAGAATTTATTCGCATTTGAACTGTATACATAAACTATTGCATTAGGTTTTATGAAATGCAGTGCTAGCAGTCCATAGTGGTTCCCTATCAAATCCGAGATCTTTAAATAGATTTATTTAGAGGACGCTCACTGTTGTACAAAAATTGGAATATATTCGTATCTAAACTGTTGTCTTAAATAGAAGCTTTCCTCGCGGGGAGCCACATAAATTAGTTGAATTCTACGTTTAAATTTGATTCTGTAAAAAAGTAGACAAATAATTTTCTACAATTGTAAACTAATCGAACTAAATAAGGTTGTTGTGCCTGGCCAAGGAACGTAACTAACGCATTAAGTGATTCGTCTTTTGTAGCGGTGTGTGCCGTAAAAGTTACGGACCGTGATTGATAGTGAAGCGATAACAAAAAGGAGGCTTGGCTAACTGCAGAAGACTTTAACGATGGATCGAATGGAGATGTTGTTCGCGGAGAGTTCTGGGTCCTGGCCACCTACTTCCCCTTCTTGGACTCCTTCTTTTTGCTGCTGGACGAGCTGGTGCTCTCGTCCTTTTCCTTCTTCTCCTTCTTTTCGGGTTTCTCCTCGGGATGGTCTTCATAGCTGGGGGAGGAAACACAGCTTAGTTTCTGATAGGTGGTGAAGCCAAACTGCAGACTTACGCAAAGAGGACCTTCAGCTCGCCGCGGACGAGGGCCACCAGGAGCGGGGTGCCCATGCAGGCTGGCACCAGGTAGAGTAGGGCCGGCTGCGCGTGCTTGAACACGTGCATCACGAAGATGGTGGCCAGCAGGCCCAGGAAGTAGGCGATCAGCGTGGAGTAGAAATAGATGCGCGTCTTGCGCTTCTTGCTGTCGTCGAAGCGCAGCAGCAGAGCAATGAAGATGCCCGGAATGACTATGTCGCCCAGTCCCAGCATGGCGAAGTTGGAAGCGTTCAGGCCGTTCTCGATCAGGTCCTGGGGGAACACTAGCTTGATGGGGGCCTCGAAGCTCTTGGCCACGGTGACCATCACGTTGGTGCCGAACACCCAGAAAATGTCGTAGAAAAACAGCCCGCTCAGCAGGATGACGCCCGTCACGAAGTTGTTCAAGTGCAGCATCTCCACGCCGTTGATAGCGAAGGCCAGTCCGAACAGGTTGTTGGCGATCCAGTGCTTCTTGAGCAGGTACCACACCCCGATCACCGAAGAGATCACCAAACAGACGATGTCGTGCGTGGAGAACTTGTAGTTCACGATGTCCTCCTTGTGCTTGCCCTCGCCCTTGGTGAACAGGATGTGGAAGGGCACCTTGGGCACGGCGGCGGGCATCAGCGAGTTGATCACCGGGCTGAGCAGGTGCGCCAGCGCAATCACTCCCAGCACGAAGAAGTACCCGGTGAGCAGGTAGTTGATGTGCACCTTTTGGAAGATTTTGAAGAACAGGTAGAGCCCGAAGAGGGCCACCGAGGCGATCAGCGGGAAGTACATGGCGTCCTTCTTGGTCATCGTGTCCGCCTTCTCGCCCGTGGACTGCAGGAAATAAAGGTTAGGCCCCGACTCTCGACAGGATTGCAGCCACCTACCTTCTTCAGCTTGTGCAGCTTCACGGAGCGGATGGAGCCGAAGATGATGGGCAGCATGGCCATCACCACCAGGCTGCTGTAGGCCACCGCCATGCCCTCGGGCGTGGATGGCGTCTTCTTCTCCCCGGGCGCCGACTCGTTCTTCGGCGCGGCGTTCACATTCTCGATGATGCCCTTGAGCACCTCCTTCACGGTTCCAAACACTTCCTCCGCCATGGTGTCCAATCCAATCCTAAGCTGAGCTGAGCTGGTGCTTCCGATGAAAATCGCCGGCTTGCGGGGGTGAAAAGTGAAGTGACACGCAGCAGTATTATAATCGCAACACGTCAACAATCTCGAATAGAGGTGGAAGTATCGACCAGCCTGCACCGTTTGAAAACTATCGCGATAGTATCGCCACCATATCCCACCACTTCTTTTCTTGCGCTCTCGCAATTAATTTATTTTTTTTTCTGGACTAACACTTGTAATCTTTTAGTCTGATTTCAACCAAACTTGTGAAGCAAAGCTGCTTTAATACTTTTTTTGGTATTAAATAAACTTATACTTCATTTCTAAACTTTTTAAGTTTAATGACAAACCATGAATAAACACGTACTATGCTAAAATTCTTTTTTCAATTTTGTTAAGAATCCCCATTGCCTTGTTAGAGAACATCCTTATTTTTCTAGGTGAATACCCCATATTGGCTGAACAAAAAACTCACAAAACCTCAAAACATCGTTAGTGTCACTATCGTTTAACAGTCAAAAAGTGTCACTAGACAAAAATAACGAATATAATATTTAAAATGATTGATTAAACACAACAATGCAACAATCAAAACAGAATACATTTGAAGACCGACAAGCTTCTGGACTCGTAGAATATAAAAGCCCCTAAAAGCTTTTACAATATTTGACATAATCTAAAGATATTTATAGAATCTATAGTATTTTTTAAAATATTAGTATCATAATAAGTTACTTTCATTCCTCTCCAAACTTATATACAATACGGCCTCCCACACAAAAATATGTGGGATGCTATGTTATCAGCGACGTCGGCAGAGGAGTCCGTTGATAATGGAGCCTCGGCCATGTGCCAGACCGCAAGCTGAGCTCAGTTCCCTTTCAGATTCCGAGAGGCAAGCATTGGATATTGGATACTGCTCTAAAATCGCGACCGGTCTTTACAATGACGACGACTCCCAAGATAAACCCACTGATTTCCGGTCCTGGACTACTGCAGATGCTAATGGGGATACTATTCATGGTTTCGGCTTCCGTGCCAGGCGCCACTTGTAAGTGTTTGCGGCCCCGCAGTTGCATAAGCCACTGATTAATGAATCCGAATCTCCCCCAGCTGACTCGGAGCCAAAGAAGGGCAATGTCAAGGCCTTGGATCGCCTCCACGCAGGACTGTTCCTGAACTACGACAGCGATGTGCAGCCCCAGTTCCAAGGATCTCCCACAAACGTCTCCCTCGGAATGGTGATCAATTACATAGACATCGATGAGTTGAACGGCAAAATGACCACCCACTGCTGGCTGAATATCGTAAGTCGGTCCTTTCCCTGCATTGCTCAGAAAACAAGATAAGTTTTTGTTTTTTTCCTCAAGTTCACATACACTCGATAAACATTCCGTTTCGGCAAAAAATGTCGCGGAAAGTGGAATTTGTTAAAATATTATCTAATTAGTCGGGTTATGGGCACGGTTTCGTTTCAATAATTTTTGGGGTTTGTGCTTGACTTGAGAGATTATCATATTTAAGTTAAAAAGATTTTTGAAATTCGGTATAGCTCACATCAGTACCTTCAACGTTGCTAAGAGCTATATACTTTAATCCCTGTAATCCTTAGCGGTGGAGGGATGAGCAGCGCGTGTGGCAGCCATCGGAGTACGACAACATCACGGAGATCACTTTGCGGTCCAGCGAGGTTTGGACGCCGCAGATAACGCTCTTCAACGGCGACGAGGGTGGCTTATTGGCGGATACCCAGGTGACCCTCACCCATGACGGACACTTCCGGCGGATGCCTCCAGCCCTGTACTCGGCCTACTGCGATCTCAACATGCTGAATTGGCCGCACGACAAGCAGACCTGCAAGCTGAAGATCGGCTCTTGGGGCTTAAAGGTCATCCTGCCGGACAACAGCACGGGGAAGGACAAATCCCTGGACCACGACGACCTGGTGCAGTCGCCGGAGTGGGAGATCGTGGACTCCCGGGCGGAGTTTGTGAGTCAGGACTACAACGGCTACATGGAGTACACTCTGGTTGCAAAGGTAAGGGAAAATTCAGAGTCTTTGGATCAAATACATTTATTTATTCCGCTCAGCGCCTGTCTTCGATGTACACTGCCGTCATCTACACGCCCGCCTCCTGCGTCGTCATCCTGGCCCTGTCCGCCTTTTGGCTGCCACCCCATATGGGAGGCGAGAAGATCATGATCAACGGCCTGCTTATCATTGTGATCGCCGCCTTCCTGATGTACTTCGCCCAACTGCTACCCGTGCTGTCCAACAATACGCCGCTAGTGGGTGAGTCCTAGCTTCTAAAGAGGTGCCACTGCATCGTTTATAATTAGTTTGCTGTTAGGAGCCATTGTTGTACCGGGAGAAGCTTGAACTGCTTTCCCAAAGTTTGATTTATTATCATTAGATTCAATCCATCTTTATACTTTGGTTTTCATCATGATACCACTAGTTTCAAGTCCCATCCCCTTTTCACAATTCATTATAACATCCTATAATTATAAAGTATTTTAATTTCAAGATTTGTTAAGATAGAATGAGTACAGATACTTACTAGATACGCTATTAAATCTCCTTGCAGTGGTCTTCTATAGCACTACCCTGCTGTTCTTGAGCGTGTCCACGATCATCGAGGTGCTGGTCCTGTACCTGGCCACCGCCAAGCACAAGAGGCGCCTGCCGGAGGCGCTGAGGAAGCTGCTCCACGGCAACCTGGGCACCTGGCTGCTCCTCTCACAGTTCAGCACCACGGGTGGGGCGGAGGCGGAGAAGACCAAGGAGATGGACGAGCACCTGTACGACAATCCCGACGAGCAGGACGCGACTAGTCCGCTGGGCATCAATCCCACCGAGGCGCCGGGCTCCAAGGCCAACCAGTTCGACTGGGCACTGCTCGCCACCGCCGTGGACCGCATTTTCTTCGTGGTCTTCAGCCTAGCCTTCCTCGTCCTGGCCATCTGCTGTGCCGTCTAGCCTGTCCTAAGCCAAAACAATTGCACCCCCACCTTGAGTAAGGTCTTTGTCAAGTAATCCCGAAATTATATTTAATCTTCTAGAGCCACCGGACGATCTGAGTCAAGGTGTGGGTGCACTCTGAACTAATTTTGCATTTTCGATTTCATGTATTTACTGAGTGTGCGAACTTAGAATTATTTAATGATGAGACCCGTTTGGAATAAAGGACCTCTGCCGAATGTCTGCTTACAACTAGAAGCGAAGGATAACAGGCTAAGTAACAAATTGGCTCTCGTTTCCGAGTATTGCTCTGCGATGATGCTCCAGGTTATCACAATTCCTCAATTAACCCAAAGTAGCTGGAATTATGCGAAATGACCTTTTTACGGCCAGAGGTCTGACCCTCGAAGGGTGGTGGGATGGTTGGGATTCCTGGGATGCTGGCTTGGCTCTCCGCTCTCTCTCTGCGCAATGGGTGGTCCCTGCGCATCCTCCAACCTCCATCCTCCACAACCCCGGCGACAAATTGGGGTTGCTGCGGCCTCAATTAAATGCATTTGTGGTGGGAGTGCCCGTGCCCTGGTCGTAGTTTCCCGCTGAGGATGAGGACGTCCTGACCGGGTCCCCGGCTGCTGTCCCGCCTTGGAATGGAGCTGTGAAATTCGAAGTGGAGGCGGAAGCGGAGGCACCTGACACCTGACCGGGCGAGGCTTGTGAGGAGGCCGTCGAGGAGGAGGGGAATCCCAAGCTGGAGCTGGTGGAGGCGGGCGATGAATGGTGGGGGTGCAGGAAGTGCGGCTGTGCCAGCTGGTGGTGCGGATGAGAGTGCTGGTGGGGGTGGTGGTGCAGCGGCGGTGGGTGGCGGGCCAACTGCATCGCCCCACCCCCGTGGTGGTTGTAGGAACCTAGCATACTGGACGCCGGATCTCCTCCCTGCGCCTGGGCCTGGCATGCGGCCATCAGCCCATGAAAGTCGAACTTGTAGGCGTACCGCTTGCCGTGCACCTTGGTCATGATGTTCTTGTCGTAGTAGTACCTGTATTTTGAAGAAATTCGGGATTTAAAATCTCTTTTGACTTTTGAAAGCTTAAGAATTTATTTAAAATCTATATTTTAATCATATATTTAAAAAAATTATTCTTAAAAGGTTATTTTTTAGGCAATTTTGGAAAATTCTTTTTTATGTATCGTTTATAGCAATATTAAAGTTAAAAATTTTCTTTGAAAGAGGTAACAAATGTTTGCCTACTTTCGTGTTCGATTTTTCACGTATGTCGTATAGCTTTTCGTGTGGATCACCAAAACTACACTACTATCTCTATGAGTTTGTAGTTTAATTCTCTAATATTCTAGATTTAAATATTTATTATAAGAGAGGGTCGACATTTTTGCCCATTTTCATGTTCGATTTTTCTGTTTTTCCATGGTGTTCAAAATGGGAACCCAAAACTGAACTTCTGGATTCCATAACTTGGGGTATTGGATCCCGATTCTGAAGTGGGTTACCTCTATGAGTTTGTAGTCTCATTCTCTAATATTCTAGATTTAAATATTTATTTTAAAAGAGGGTCCAAATTTTTGCCCATTTTCATGTTAGATTTTTCCGAATTTCCAATGGTGTTCAGAATGGGAACCCAAAACTGCACTTCTTTATTGCATAACTCGAGTTATTGGATCCCGATTTTGAAGTGGGACACCTCTATGAGTTTGTGGTTTAATTCTCTAATATTCTGCGTTCAAATATTAACTTAAAAAGGGGGTCCAGATTTTAACCCATTTTCATGTTAGATTTTTCCGTAATTCCAATGGCCCTCAGAAGGGGAAGCCAAAATGGAACTTCTAACTTTTATAACTTGGGTAATTGGATCCCGATTTAGACGCGTGATACCTCTATAAATTTGTGGTGAAATTCTCTAATATTCTACATTTAAGTTTATTTCTTAAAAAAGTGTCAAAATTTTAAGATATTTTCATGTTTGATTTTTCCGTAATTCCAATGGCTTTCAGTAAGGGAACCCAAAACTGCACTTCTGGATTTCATATCTTGAGTTGTTGGATTCAGATTTAGACGTGGGATACCTCTATGAGTTCGTGGTGAAATTCCCCAATACTCTACATTAAAATATTTATTTTGAGAGAGGGTCGAAATTTTCGCCCATTTTCATGTTGTTCTGGATTCCATAACTTGGGGTATTGGATCCCGATTCTGAAGTGGGTTACCTCTATGAGTTTGTAGTCTCATTCTCTAATATTCTAGATTTAAATATTTATTTTAAAAGAGGGTCCAAATTTTTGCCCATTTTCATGTTAGATTTTTCCGTATTTCCATTGGTGTTCAGAATGGGAACCCAAAACTGCAACTCTTTATTGCATAACTCGAGATATTGGATCCCGATTTTGAAGTGGGATACCTCTATGAGTTTGTGGTGAAATTCTCTAATATTCTACATTCAAATATTTATTTTGAGAGAGGGTCGAAAATTTTGCCTATTTTCATGTTTAATTTTTTGGTATTTCTTTAATGGATAACTCGAGTTATTGGATCCCAATTTTGACGTAGACATTATTTATCACTTTCAGTATTTTAATAAACTTATGACCAATAAATTTCCAATCAAATTGTAATTTCGTAGGGTAAACAAAGTGCATAGAGACTATGCATAGACTTACCTGAGAGCCCGGCTCAGCTTGTCGTAGTTCATGTTGGGCTTGGCCTTCCTCTCGCCCCACCGCCTAGCCACCTCGTCGGGGTCGATGAGCCGGAACTCGCCCGATTGGCCCTCCCAACTGATGGCGGCGGCGTTGGACGAATCGGCGAGCAGCTCCAGCAGAAACTGCCACAGCTGTATCTGGCCCCCTGAGCCCTGGGCGACCAATCGGTGCGAGGCAGCGTTCAGCAGCTGATACGGATCTGAAAGAGAGCGGAGGTGGCGTTAGTGGCGAGTACGCAGATACAGACCCCGTAGCCCCCAGCTACAGATACAGATACTCTGGCAGCAGAGACACCAAGATATGTGGGCATAGAGAGCGAGCGAGAGGAGAGAAAACCAACCCGGCCAAACGAGATTTTCTGGCGGGGAAGGGACGACGACGTGGCAAGAGTGCCAAGTGGAGCTGAATGCCATAAGCCAGCGCGGATTCACAGAAAATCAACCGCAAACGGACATAAATCCTGGATCACATTGCACGCCGAGAAAAACCGGTATAAAATCAACTTGGAACGGCATGCTCGATTAAATGTTATATTGCTATCTATAAAATAAATAGGAACGTAAGAAACGATTTTTTTTAAGCTGAAACAATGAAATTTCTTATATTCCTTATTAACGAGTTACATTTTGAAGCCTGTGAAAAAATCTGGTCTTATCAAAGACAAAAAATTATATCCGTTTAAAGTATTGGATAAGAAAGAATTGTAAAGTTTATCAGTATTCGTTGAAAACAAATGAAATATTTTCAGTAAATTAAATGATATTGTTTTCTACCAAGATATCGGAATAAAAATTCGAAAACAATAATTTATTAAGAAATGGGCTTTATATATGTTTCGACGAATACCGATAAACTTTACAAAGAAATTATTTTTCTTGTAATTTAAATAAATAATTTTGTTTTTATATTTTTAAAGATTTTACTTGTAATCCTGAACTGCTTTAAATTGGTATGGGCGTACGTGATTAACCCTTTACTTAATGGTTTACAGGAAAAATATATAAATGAATTTATGTAAAATCACCAGCAATATCAAATCTCCTTCACGTGTAGGAGCCAGTTAACCAAGGTACATTTTATTGACTATTGGCCATGGGGACATTCCCACATCCCGTAGTCGGTGCACCTCCACGGGGAAATCCCTCAAAGTGCCGCTGCAAAAGCACGAAAGTGCCATAACCAAGGTGACTCATTCGTTGATCAAGCAATGCTGCGGCCAAGAGACTGAGTTCTCACTTCTAGACAATTTCAGACCGTTGGACCCACGACCTACCATACCGTCCATCCCGAGCCCTTTCACTCATATTTCTAGGCGCACCGCTCGCCGGAAATGCCAGAGATCGAGTGGTTGCCATTGAGAAACCTCCTCGCCGCCGTTCATTCACGCAATTCTCTTCGATTTTCGGCCCGTCTCAGCGGAAATTCCGATGAATTTTCGGTCATATGAGCGGCTCTCTTACCATTGAAGATCATTGAAGTGTGCGGATGTTGGTGGTGCTGGTGGTGGTGGTGGTAGTGGTGGTGCACGGCGCCGTGGTGCGGATGGGGATGCTGGCCAACTGGCGGTGCCGGCTGCATCCGGAGGCCGAAACGCCGGTTGAAATCCTCCGACAGGCGCCACATTACGCCCACGTCCACGCTGACGCTCATGGTGGATCTTTCAAAAAGTCTTTTTCAGAATTTTACCCGCCGGCTGATGCTGAACTTTTTACTTGATTCCTTTTCTTATTATTATTGATTTATGTTTAATAATATATCCGTGACAAACAAATGATACTCAAATCTTTGCCTAAAAATGTTCACTATTTTTGCTGGGCTTTTTAGAGTTATAGAGGGGGTTTCACATTTTTAGAATTATTTAAAACGTTTAAATGATCAATTTGCACATTAAAATGTTATACATTTTATAAAAATGATTTGTTTTCGATTACAATTTTTTTTAATTAATTAGTTTCTTTTTTTAATCGAACTATATTTCTTGAATTTAAACGTGGTGTTATGTTTTTCCAGGGAGCGTGTGAACCGTTTAGGACGAGGGCTAGTTGGCAACTGAAATCTCAGTCAGAAGCGCTGGCCGGATTCTGCTCCTTATCACCGAACGGATGGTCTCTCTGCCGAGCATCCTTGGAGCTCCTCGCGCTCCGGTAAGGATTACGGTTCACCTGCGCAGTTGGGGGTAAATGCTGCTTCGGCATTTGCCGGAGGAGTCACGAAAGTCAGAGGCCACGTGCAGCCACTCAACCACCGCCCACTACGCCCACCGAAAAGCACACAATAAACAACTGCTTCTTTTTCCCATTTTCCGACTATTAAATACCCATTACGAATCACTTGGTTATTTATTAAATGTCAGGGGATTTCACCAAAACGAAAATAGAAAGATATTTTGCAAACAATTTTTGTTTGCGTTGGAAAATATTTTTGAGTTCTTCAGAAATTCTATAGATAATGACTGCGTTCATTGACGTTAAGGTAGGTTCTTCTTTTTCGCTGGAATTTCATTTTCCCCGCATAGTTTTCGCTACAGGAACGGTGACTCAGACGTGGGAACAACAACCGGAGCCCACAACAAATGTAATCTGCGTGACGGCGACGACGCGTAATCCTCGTTGGCATAAAAAACAAATCAATTAAATCGACGTCGACTGCTCTCGGGATCAAGGCAGCTATATAGATGGCTACATGGCCATATAGCCCACCCACCAACACATGCCAGACCCAAATCAGGAGGCTTTCCTCCGCCTTTCAGCCGCTCTTCCTGCCACAGGAAGGATGCGACGAATGAATATTTTCCTGTGCCCAGGAGCTGACCACCCGCAGCGCTCTTGTCACTGACAAACCACCCAGAAAAACACCCAAACCACCACCCCACCACGCCCACTTTCCCCCACCACCCACTGGAACTTGACTCGGCGACTTTAGTCGCTGGCATGGGATTACTTTGATTTTATTATTAGATGCCACATCCTGGGAGAAATTATCATATTTACATCGTTTATTATTAAGTTCATCACTTGACGCGACCGCCCGCCTAGTCCAGCCCCGCCCCTTTCGCCATCCCGCCCCAATCATCACCAGTTAATAACTGGAAAAGTGTTGCATACTTTGCTGCTGTCGCGAAGAGATTTTCCCAAGCGATTTACGTTTATGGAGTTGGAAAAGTCAGAGAAAAGGTAATTAAAAGGTGGTTCACTAGCAGGAGGATTTTCCCATACTTTGGGAACTTTTCCTCCTTATCGCACACATTAAATAAGGAGTGTGGAAAGTGGGAAAAACAATCAATGAAACACATAAGTAACGGCCCTATCAGCCAGCCAGCATCTTAATCAGTTGCCATTTGGCCGTCGGCGGAGGTCAGAAAAGGATTCAATTGATGCCTGACCACAAAGGATTCGAGCGTCTGGGAATCGCCCCACTGGGAATAGCACGTGAACCCAATTACCAAGCAGATCAATCCGGAGATTTCTGGACTTCAGATTTATGTGGTCCGAGATAAGCTCTGTTGTTTGGTCACTTCTGCTGGGCAGTGGACAGGGCTTGAGACTAACTTGATTAACTGAGGGGTTATCTTTTGATAAGATTCCATTGAATTTGAACTATCAAAAAATATGTTAAATATAATTCCAAAAACTCGTATTTTATCAAAAAATCCATTCCACAAAACATATATGGAAAGTGACTCACAATATTAAATAAAAGTATGAAGTTCTGCTGGTAGTTACCAATTTGAGAAGTTAAAGATAAAAATAAAAATCTGATTTGTATATGCTTCTTGGAGTCGAGTACGAAGTGTGTTTTTTTTTTAGTGTTTATATTTTTAGAAGGTATCGAATATAATCCCAGGGATGTGAGTAGCTCCTAAGTGTTTAATGCTTTGATTCAAAAAACAGATCAATAATTATTTTCAGTCCCTGGGTATACATATTATAATAAACTAATTATTAAAAACTGGTTAATTTTCTAAATGACTTTAGGATATGCAACACTCTTGTAGATATACATTACAAGGTAGGACCCACAAATCCTCTTTTGAAATCGGAAAATATCTCCAATCCTTATCCATTAAAAATCAGATACAAAATCCCCTTAGGTACACTCACTTGGTTCGTTGTCGTTGAGCATGGGACTGGTCTCCCTTCCGGTAGCGTGGTATAAGCTCAGCGCGAAATGTTGGGCCATGAGCATGCCGCCACGCCTGGATCCCGCACAGACCCAGAAGTCGGCGCGGGTCAGCTCGCACAGCTCCTGGGCGTCCTTGGGGAAACGGTCGACATCCGGCTTCGGATCCAGTTGGAATTTCCGCGTTGCCCACTTCACCCAGCTGGCAATGTCCTCGGAGGACCAGGCATGCGGATCCACGGGCACTTCCACCGGCGAGACGGAGCGATTGGAATCGTTGGAGTTCCTTCGAGATGATGGAGGCGGCTGTGGTGAGGGATTGTCCGTGTCCAGAGGGACCGGCACTGGCAAATTGAGGGCGGGTGTTTGGCTTCTGTGGCTATTACTACTGCTGCTGGAGGAGGACCCGGAATCCGAGGACTCTGAGGATTCACTGGTGTCACTGGTGGAACTGCTGCTGCACCGCCTTCTGCTTCTTCTCCTGCTGGAAGAGCTCTCCTTCTCGGCTCCGGCACTTGGATTCATTTTATTCTCCTTCGCTTCCAGTTGGGCCTCGTTTCCGGATCCGATGCTTTTTTGCCGGACATCCTGGTGCATGGCATCAAGTGGCCTCTGTTGGCACCAAATCGTCTGGATGTGGATTGGGATTTGGCTGTGGCTAAGGTGGCCTTTCTGCAAAATGGCCATTAAACTCGGGATATTCGGGTTCTCTTCCTTGAACACTATGGAATCACTATCAGCTCCGGGTTGTTGGTAGCTTGTTGTTTTCACTGGTGTTTGACATTATGTTCTTCAGTTTGTCCTTAAATTTAAATCATTTTATTTGTTTAAATAAAAACACATCGCTCTTGTGGTAACTGCACTTTTTTGCTCCATTTATTTGGGGGCTTGAACCGTGTTTATGATTTTTGGCGACTGTTTGCACTATAAAATCAATACCATTTACTCATAATATTCCGAGAATTTAACTTTAGTAATTTCGATTTAATCGCCTGCAACCGGTTGATCGTGGAAAACGAAACGGATTTAGGATGTTTGTCTGGATGATTCACCCGAGGGGTAGCCAAGGTATTTCACCTGCTGGCCAAACAAGTGGAGTCAGCTGTCGGCTTTCCACGTGCCGCAAATCGCGGAAATCTTTCGCGGAAAGTTAGCGATAGGAAACTTTTAATAACCGTTATTGTATTGACCGATTACAGAACTCGAACCGGACCGCCGATCTCGAATGGGGTTAAAAGTAACGCCGTAGATCCCTCTAGACCGCTGATCTTTGCTCCACGGAGCGTCCGCGCCGATCGATGTGTGACGAACTAATGATCAGCACCGGCGGACTGTGATAAAGCGGTGACGAAGTCGGGAGCTTTCGCGTTCTCTCGCAGATTCGGCTGCCTCATGATCGACTGGCTGAACTGAATACAAGGGGGCCCATGGGGTCGGGACCAGTTTGCTTTCGGTTCGGGAGCTTTCGCTCTTCCGAGTGCCCGCTTATCGTTGGCAAATAACAACCTTAAGCATGACGTCGTGGAACCGGCGTACTCCGCATGAGTCACTCCTCCATAGAGCACACACAGAGGCATAGCCGATCACCGCTGGGAAGCCGTCGGAGTTCCCCAGGCCTTGCGTGGGCCGGAGGGGGTGGTGCTCGGGGTAAGGTCGTTTGGCGGCCAACGAAAATTCATTCATTGATTCCCCTCCCATTCGGATTCGTTTTTCTCGCTTTTGCCGCGTCATCTTTCTGGGAAATCGGGCATGAGTCGCTAGTTGTCTGTGGCCCATTGATATAATTTACTATATGGGGGTGCATATCTCTTCTGATATTTTTTGGCAACAGGTCGCCTTGCTAAAATCGCACAGAAGAAAATAGCTAATGTCTTTTTCCAAAAGCTTTCAAATAAATATTTACATAAAGATCTGATGATCTATACAAAAGATTAGGTTACAAATGCACACAGTAGCCAAAAGTTCATTTACTCGTGTATGTATGTTATTTATTTTTGGTAACACTAAAGCACTAAAAAGAAATACATTGATCAAAAATATTTGATCTTTGAATCCATATGCAAGATAATATGTACATACATATCCATTTCCAATTCAAGTCCAGCACTGATGGTTTGAGGTGGTTTACAACAGATTGTATTACAAATCGTTTTTATATACACACTCAGTTAAAACCATTACTAATAAAAATAACTTTTGAATGTATGGTAATTTATTTCGAAATCAAAGTATAATCAAGTTGACGTGCTTATTACGGTGACGTTTTTAGATTTCGTTCATATCAGCTTGCAATTACTTTTAGATTTGTTTGAGTTCCCCGGACTTCCTGGAAACGCTTCTGATTTCATAGCCGAGGAGAGAACGCTTTTGGGCAAGTGATTCATGCGATCCAATCTGACGGGCCGCTCTCTTTCTCTTTTCCACTGGCGCCGGCAGATATGCCGATCCAAATCCATATCGCGGTTTATATTTGTTTTGATGTGACGAACGTCACTTGAACGCGGTGTTTTTGTACCGAAAGCTTTTACTAGAGCCTCGTATATAGTACAGTTCATTCATAAAATGCGAGATGGGCCAAGGGGGCTTGGGGTTCGAGGAGGTACTGTGAGCAACCTGGTGAAATATTTCCATATATGTATTTTTCCCATTCAGTTTTGTTTAAGAACTTTGAACGGGCTTACGTTAGCTTTCAGGTTCATTTACAAATGGGTGCTTTACCTAGGGCGTAATACTGCCAGTCATGTTATGGTATCATTTTATTATTCACTGAATTGTCGCTTGTTTGTGGTGTACATGTCACGCGTATGCGCCCATCACAGTCCACGAGAACTCCAGTGAACACTTCTGCAAGAAAGTATTCTGCAAGAATACATTCTTTCAGAAGTGTTCCGTGTAGTTCAGGTGGACTGTGATGGGCGGATACGCGCGACATGTACTCCCAAAACATACCAGAGATCATTATAATTGATGAATAATTAAACAATAAGAAGGGGACTTTTGCGTCTTAAAATGCCTTAGCAATGGGAATAAATCCGATTATAAGGAATTATAGATGGGATCTCACGGTTCTTCACTTGCAATATGGTTTGAATATGCAGTAGCTGTTTATGGCGATTGTTTAGCTTATTTACGTTTTAACCGCTCTGCGGAATAAACAGGGCTATGACTAGTTCTGCATCGCCCGTAAACCGAATCATCTAATGCAGCTCCTCGGTGATCTCCTCGTCATCGGCCTCGTCATCCTCGCTCGTCGTCATGGCCGAGGTGCTGCTCATTCCAGTGGCGGCGGTGCCGCTAGTGGAGGCGGTCACCTGGCGTCCCGAATTCCAGATGAGATCGAAATCCAAGTCGCATTCCTGGGCAATTTTAAGCACAATGCCGCGATCCAGGAGTCCCGAGGCGCTCCACGAGTTGTCCTTCACGGCTAGCTGCTTTAAAGCTTTTCCCGCCTCGGAATAGTCTTTGGCGTAGACCAGGGCTCGAACCAACATGGACAGGATGTGGGCGTGGCGGATGGGCGGCAGTTCCGGTTTAACTAGATGTGGGAAAAATATTGAAATTAATGTGGTTTAACTTTCCAGACAACTTACTTAGCATGCTGCGGCAGGATCCAATGACCATTTGGTGATCGCCATCTCGCAACGCCTGCTGGATCTCCAAGATCGCCTTGACATCCGCCACAGTGCGCTGCAGATTGTTATAGACGTGCTGAGCGTGGCTGAGCTTCTCCAAACATTTGGAGGCCTCCTGCATGGCGGTCAGTGCCTTGCCGTAGTCCTGGAACTCTTCGATTTCGATCTGGGCGCAGATCGCATAGAAGTTGGCCAGGGAATCAAAGGCCTGGCCCTTGGTATAGAAGGTTACGATATGCTTAAGCACCTGGGCATCCGATTGCCAGTCCAATGCTTGGAGATAATTGGCTGCCATAATGTATACCTCTCGTTGCCTGGACATATTGGCAAAGAAAACAATCTTGTCCGTGTTGCCCGATTTCAAAAGGCTCTTCATGGCGCGAATTTTGTCCCCAGCCTGGGTGAACTTCTTAGTGGCACTGTGATAGTCACCCTGCTGCTGCAGGAGCTCGCCCAACTGGACCAAGATGTGTACCCGAGTGGCCTCCTCGAACTCGCCCTTCTCCGGGGTGAGCATCTCGGCCAGTTCTTCTGTTACGGGCACGCCCTTCTCCAAACATATGCTCAAAGCTCTTTCCAGGTGCCTGGTCTTGGCCAGCAAATGCACAGCCTTCTGAAATTGCTCGATGCTGCAGAAGAAGTCTGCACAGCGGTTTATCAACTCGGCATCAGACTCGGGGACGAGGTCAGAAGCAATGATCTCCAGGATTTCCGGCTGCTGGGACTCAAAGGCCATCTCCAGGGCTTTATGAAGCATCCCAGCCCGATGGTAGAGTTCCACGGCATGCTTGAAGTTCCCGCACTCCTCGAAATAGGCAGCTGCAATTGCCTTGTCCCTTTGCCTAGATGAGCTGGCCACTGTCCACAGCTCCTCCTGAAAATCGTTCTCCTTGCAAATGCGAATTGCATTACTGAAGGTCTGCGCACGTGTGAAGAACATGATGGCCTCCTGGAACTTGCCCACATTCTCGTAGTGCCTCGCCAGGTGATAGCAGGCAGCTCGGTCTCCCGATTGCCTGGCGATGGCATCAGCTTTGGAGATCTTGCCCAGGTAGCAAAGGATCTTCACCTAAAAAGGAGCTGGGGCTAGCAATCATGTAGTTTTTTAAGCTTTTCCAATTTACCTGCGAGAACCAATCCTCCGCCTTGTGGTAGACAGCCAAAGCAGCATCCATGTCCCCGGAGCTCTCGATATACTGGCCCCACCACTTGAGCAGCTTGGGATCGCTTGTGGTCTGGATGTAGCGCTTCATGGCCGCCGGATTCTCCAAGAGGAGCTGCGTGATATTCTGGGCCGGGTTCTGCGTCTTCTCGAAGAATTCCAGAGCTCCCTTGATATCGCCCCGTTCCCGCAGCTCCTGTGCCTTCTGGTAGTAAGTGTGCTTCAAATGAATCCGATCCTCGGTCTCGGCCAGCTGGAGTGCCTCATCCAAGTGGCCAATGGACTGAAGAAGTTTGTTGAGCAAATCGAACCGCTTACATTGGCGATAGAGATCCTTGGCCTCCTCAATCATCCCCAATTCGATGGCCAAAACGGCTACCTTTGCTTCAGTTTCCAGATCATCATCTTCGATGGCTTGCCGAAGAGCTCGAACGGAACGGGCTTGCTCCAAGTGGCCCATGCACACTTTGGCCACATCTAGGCGATTTGTGTGAACACACATCTTGGCCAGATTAGTCCAGATCACTTTGGATTGAATGGAGCGAATGCTGCGGTAGGCCAGATCCATGTTTCCTTCGGCCACATAGAGACTGAAGTTCAGGACCTGCTTTCTCGTAACTGGATCGCATTGCTGTAGATCCACGAAATCCTGAAGAGGTTGCTCCTCCATCGCATTGATCTTTAGCCGGATCACGTTGGGCACACATAGGTTCAGCAACTGTGAGCCTGGGCTCATGGGTTGACTTTCCAGGAGATTGAGGCTTCCTTTCTCCGAGTAAAATAAAAGTAATATCTTTGACTGAACGAAATGAATGGGTTGAGGGGAGTTCTTCTGAGGTGCACTCTTCTGCATCATAGACTTGACCTCCACTGCTAGGAGTCGTGGTTCCTCTGCATCCCAGAAGACTCGAACCGGCAGACTGGATGAGGAGATCTCCTTCTTAGAGCTGGTTTCTTGCTCCAGTAAACCATAATCAAAAAGGTTGTTGCGCTCAAAATCCCAGCAGAATAAGGCCGATATGGGGGTGAAGTTACTACTGGCTATCACCATGGCCAAGTGGCTTCCCAAACTGTTGCACTTGACCAGGATGAACTCCCCGAAGTCATCGAAGATGTCGTGACCGGACTTGCTGGGAAACAGCAGCTTGGGATCGTGGCGGGAAACATCGTAGACTTTAACATAACCATTCATGGTAAAAACTGAGAGATAGCAGCCGCTCAGATCCATTCCGATGATTTTCCCTTCAATATCGCTGGCTTGCATCCGGTGGAGCACCACTCCTCCCACGGAGTAGACCATTACATCACTGCTCGACAGGCAAAATATGTTCTGATTGTACAGATCCAAGCACAGACATTCGGCGGGGAAGGTCTGCAGAAGCTTTACACTCAAAGGAGTGGCTGTGGATCCCGTTGTGGGCGGAGCTGCGCCCTCCACGTTCTCTAGGATCTCGTCAAACTCATCCAGGCTTTTTTCCACTTTCTGCAGACTGAAGGATGATATGCTCCTGCCATTGCTCATCACCAGACTCAGTTCATTTAAAGCCATAGCAGTTACTGCGAATTCCGACTGAACAGTGGTCTCCCGACCACTGCAGTGCGTCAACTGCACCGATTTGGCCGACCTCTGAACTGCCCAGAGCTCCCGGGTATGAACTGCCAGAAGAGGCTGCTCCTTCAGCATGAACACATTGGACAGACAGTTGACCAGCATGCAGGGTTTGGCCAGCTCATTGAATCCCCACTCGCAGCTCCGGATGGCTCCTCTTACCGAGGATATGTTTGTTAGCTGCCAGGCATCCTCAGGGGCACTCACAAACCGGCTGCCACTCCTTTTCCAGGTAAAGAGATTCCCCTGAGAGGTTCCCGCACACAGGGTTTGACCTGTGGAGCTGTAGGCCAGGCAGGTAAAGATTTCTCCGTTCATCTGACCATACTTTGGCGTCTTGCGGGGCACACTGCTGCTCTCGCTGCTGTCGTGGCTGAAGAACTGATTGGACGAGGACATGGTTCCATTGCTTAGGCTGGTCAGGGATGCAGCCAACTGGTTGCCACTGGGCAGATCCATTTTCAGAAGGTAGTTGTCACTTCTTTCGATGTCCCAAATGCGCACAAAGAGATCGCCTGTGATGATTGCAAGGGAATTTCCGGACCAAGCGATTCCTCCCTGCCGACCTCCTCCTCTTCCGCTCATCTTCACGCGATCCAGCTCCGTGAGAATCCCGGTGGACTCGACCAAAAACAGAGTGACTGTAAGGTCCTCCATCAGGCAAATGACTGCATCTCTAGGATTGGATATTTTAAAATTTTAAAAATAGGGATTAGATCGCGAGCCCAACCAGTACATTACTTCTTGGGGTGCCACAACATCTGGACAATGGGCGGCAGGGACCCGCACTTCATCACCTCGACGCAGGCGCCTCCTTGGTTGATGTAGTACACCACTCCTCCCTGAGTGCAGGCGTAGAAGCAGTGATTGTCCCTCACTCCCGAGTGGGTCATGCTCCGGGCTGCAGTGCGCGGCCTCCAGTTGGTCAGGGTGTCCAGGGCGTTTTCGTCGCCGGCCACCGCTGCCTTGGCAAGATTGGCCATCTCCTCGCGCACCTCGCTCTCCACCGTTCGCCGGAAGCAGATCAGGAGCAGCACCTCCCGCAGATCGTGGGAGAACATTGTCAGGAACTGGTACTGACCATCGCAGCGCCATCCGGTGACCAGCCCCATGGCATCCGCGGTGACCATACGTCCTCCCTGCTCGCTGAACTGCAGCAGGACAATGGCCGCCTTGTGGGGTGCGTTCACGCTGGCGAACTCCCGGTGGCCGGCGAACCACACGTGGATGTCCCCATGCTCCCAGCCGCTGGCCAGGAGCGCCTTCTCCGGATGCCAGCATAGGGCAGTTGCCTGCGAGGACGCGTGCACAGGATATGTTACATCGCGCTGGGGCTCACCCTGAAAAATTAGAACCCAGATTAACTATTTAAATTTACAGAATGTTTTTAACTTGCGACTAGTAATCAGAGTATACATATGTATATGTATATGTATATTGAATTTAGATTTATTCATATTTCACTATCATATGTTTCATGAACGTTTATTGTGGTTTTTATACCTTTATTTTAGTTAGGGATTAGTAGGAGGTTTCTTTATAAAGCCATTTCGCTTAAGACTTTTCATCTGTCAAATTTGAATGACATTTCATTTAAAGGGTAATTTTTACATTTTTGTTAAACCGTTTATATTTACAGGATGTTTATAATTTACCACTTTTAATATTTGTATGAATGTATCGTGTGCACTTTTTTAATGTTTTAATTAGGAAGTAGAATTACCTCGACTCTAAGGTCTTTGATCCCTATTGCTTTACATTTCTTGTTTGAAAACCATCTAAATGTACCGAGTCTTAATAATATTAGACTAAATTTAAATTTATTTATCACTTATCAAGGCACTTATGAATGTGTTGTGTGCACTTTGTATTTTCAATATTTTAATATTTTAATTAAGGAGCAGAACTTACCTCGACCAAAGGTCGCTTAAAACTGATTCCCTCTACACCAAATTTCGCCCAGGCCACTTTTCACATGTCACCTTTGATGACATTTTATTTCAAAGGTAATGTGATCCCAGTTTTTGTTATTCCCTATTTTTGTAAATGTTACCAGGTTTGTAAGGTGCTATTTTTCCTTAATTTTAAATTCACGGTAGTGTGGGAAAATGTAACTTTAAGAATAGAACTGTTTACATATGTTATTAAATGCTCCCGAACTTAAGATATTTTGGAATATTCAAAATAGCTAAGTGGAAAATTTCTATATTAAGATTCATGAGTTTTTACTAGGTGTGTTCAAATCTGTTATGGAAGGGATACCGTCCATAAGACTTACCGTATCCGCAAAGATGGTAACGGAGCCGCCTCTTTCGGGACTGAAAGAGGCCACTGCGAAGAGCGGCTCACTGGGATGCCAACTGCTGATGGTGCTAACTGCATCCGAGTCCAGGAACTCTATTTTCGTGTCGAAATACAGTGTCATCCTTTTAGGTTTTTTCTACAATGCAGCTGGACTTTTCTGACATGAACCAAAACACACTAAAAATGTGTTTCTTTAGCAACGGTTGCCATGGTAGCTCCAAAATAACGCCAACAGCCGGCATTTGGAGTATGCACTTGAGGAATACAAAAAGTGAAAGTAAATAAAGCTAATTAATTTCACCACATGACAAATGCATTTCTATGATGTTCGAATGCAAGGCACAAGGAATCAGGCACAGATAAATATATAATTGCAATCGCACTAAACTTCAAGTTTTTTACAAAAATAAAGTCACCTGAATTTTCTGGAAAGTAAACTCGGGTATTTCCCCACAAATGCGAATTACAGGTGGAAAACAAAAAGCAAAAAAGCTAAAACGTTTCTCACTTTTGAAAGGTAACGGTTTTGTCCATCTCTGGCAATCCACAGGGCGATCCGGGCACTTCTACAAATTCAAAAAAATAACGAAGGTACTTGATGTAATCACAATTTAATAAATAAAATTCTAATAATTGTCAATATTGATTAGCAAAAAATTCCTAACTCATTAGATCATACTATAATCAATTGATTATACTATATATACTATAATCAATTGACAAGACATTTTTTTAGCCCCCTTTCACGCATGTAACTCTCCCACCTTAGTAATAGTTGTAAACTTTAGGAGTTTCAAACAAGCCCAAAAGTGTTAGATAAGAGTTCTATAGTACTACCGTTCTATAAACTATTTAGACAAATTTTGTTGAGTCTTATCCTCGAAAACTTTTTTTGAAAATGAGTATATTTAAAATAATTTATCCAAAAATGTAATAATTCATTTTCGTTATATTTTCGGTAGACAAGACTTATATCTTGAGCTAGGTAACAAAAAGATAGCTTGAAAAAAGCCAAATGGTCGCCGCTGGAGCTTACCCACACAGACATCCGTAGAGTATTCGCCCGTGAACACGCAATACTCGCGCATTCGAATGAAATCACCGGCAAACAAAATAGAGAAAACAGAACGTTCGCCGATATTGCGACTCATTTGCAGTGCGAACTCCGAAAATGGCTGATCGTCCGTGTGCTGGAAACCTGCTCCGCATCGCCGGAGCCGTAATCCTGCCCAATCTGGGTGGGATCTACAATGGGCGGCTGACCAGGCAGAACCTGCAGAACTGGTACGCGAACCTCAAGTTCCCGTCATTCAAGCCGCCCAACGCGGTCTTCGCACCGATGTGGATCTCCCTGTACGCGGGAATGGGCTACGGATCCTACCTGGTGTGGCGGGATGGCGGGGGATTCTCTGGCGAGGGGGCTAAACTGCCTCTCATCGCCTACGGAACCCAGCTGGCCCTCAACTGGGCCTGGACGCCCATCTTCTTTGGGCAGCACAACATCAAGGGCGTGAGTACTGGTGATATCACCCTGTTGTACACGTATCTAATCCACTTCATCCATCAGGCGCTCATTGACATAGTCGCACTCACCGCCACGGCTGGTGCCTGTGGTGTCCTGTTCTACAGAGTCAACAAGACCGCCGGGTTGCTCTTTGTGCCCTACCTAGCCTGGCTGGGATTCGCCACAGCCCTCAACTACGCCATTTGGAAGCTAAATCCCGAGGAGAAGAAGCCCCTGGAGGAGGAGAAGCCCTCTGGCAGTGCTCACGCCAAGGCCAATTAGGCCCCGGAAGGCCCTAAATCCATTAGTTTTAAGTTTTTTCGCACAATGCGTCACGGGATTACAACTTATCGAACCAGGGCTGGCCAAGTTGGATAAGATATCGTTATAAAGTGCCTCAAGTGAGCGGTAATTTCAAAGTATGTTATCTCTAACTAAAGAATTCCAAATTCTATGTATGTTACTTACAAAAGGTTAAATTATTTAATACTGCCTCAGAGAAGTTATAGAACAAATCATAGAATCATTTGAGTAAAATCCGATTGTAAAAAGGTTTTTAAACTGTATATGAAAGGATCCATTGCGACCATTGTTTAATCACCAAGTTAGTAATCTTTTAAAAACTTTTTGTAAATTATAATTTTATTGAAAAAGTAAAGGGCACAAATTATCAAAAAACTGTTAGTACCTGGGACTAAAAGAGAGATTAACGAAATCGAAGAGATAGTCTGAAAATGCGAGAAAATTCGAAATGCAAGGGAGCCGATTGAAAATGAGATGAAAGGAGGATCAATTGCCTCCAGGGGCGGCAGAGGGAGTGGGATTGGGAGGAGTTCCGGCCTTTGGTGAGGCCGCCTTCGGGGAGCCACCTGCCTTTGGAGAGGGCGTGGCCTTGGGGGAGTTCGCCGCTGGCTTCTGCTGCCCCCCAGTTGGTCCCGTTTGCTTGGGAGGAGAGGCTTTGCCCGCTGGTTTTCCCTGCTGTTGAGCTGACTGATTGGGAGCTGCTTTCGGAGATGCAGGTGCTGGCTTTCCTGCAGGCTGAGCTGGCTTGGGAGCAACTGCTGGCTTGGCATTGGCATTGGGATTCGGCTGTTTCTGCTGGGGCTTGTTTCCCCCTGGTCCTCCTGCTCCGGCTGGTCCTCCTTGTGGCTGCTTCTGCGCCTGCTGCGGCTTGTTGGCAGGTTGCTGCTGCTTTGGCTTTGGTCCTCCTGAGTCCTGCTTCTTGGCATTCTGCGCCTGGGGTGCCGCAGCCTGTTTCTGGGGCGGAGTAACTGCAGCAGGCGACGGCGGAGTCACTGTGGCGGGAGATGGCGGAGTCACGGCCGCTGCGGAAGGTGGTACGGATGTGGGAGTCGAGGGCGGAGTGGAGGGTGCCAGAGGGGATGGCGCCTCTGCAGGAGTGGCCGAAGCCACTGGAGCTGGGGGCGTCACTGGCTTGGCGGGTGGTGGTGCCTCCTTCTTGGTAGAATCTGCAGTCTGATCTTGAGGTTTTGGCGGTGCCTGAGCAATCTGTGCGTTGGAAACTTCTGGAGCGGGCGTCTTGGTAACTTCTGGAGCTGGAGTTTTTGCCACTTCAGCCGGTGGAGTAACCTGCTTAGCTGGTGGAGGAGTCTTTTGCTTAGGTTTCTCCGTTACAAAGGGCTTATCCTGGTTGTTCTTAGGAGGAGATGGTTGTTTGGGAGCACTCTTTGGTGGTGAATCCTGTTTGGGGGCATTCTTTGGAGGAGAATCCTGCTTAGGAGCAACCTTTGGAGGTGACTCCTGTTTAGGAGCACTCTTTGGTGGTGAATCCTGTTTAGAAGCACTCTTCGGTGGCTCAGCAGTGGAAACAGGTGCAGCTGGAGGAATCGTTGGCTCCAACTGAGCTGGAGGAGGCGACTCCTTCTTCTGCTCTTCAATTTTAGGAGTGGCTGCCACTTCGCCGGCTGGTTTCTCTGGAGGATCTGCCTGCTTGGGTGGCTCTGAGGCCACGATCTGGGCGAGAGTCTGGACACCAGTGGGCGTGGCCGCCTTTCCAGAGGTCTCCTTCAGTGGTTCGGGTTTTTGCTCCGCTGGTTTGGCGTCAATCCTTTGCTCTGCCGGCTTTGGTTGCTCTACCTTTTGTTCAGCGGGTTGTGGCTGGGTATTCTGATCCACTTGTTGTCCAGTTTGCAGTTTATCCTTTGGTGCAGTGGCTTTGGGCTGCTCAACCTGTTTAGGTTTCTCCACCGGTTTCTCAGCCTGTTTAGGTGGCTCCACTTTTTGCTCAGCGGGTTTGTTTTCCATGGACTTGGGTTGCTCCACGCTTTGTTCCACCGGCTTGGTTTCAATCTTCTGGTCAGCGGGTTTGGGTTGCTCCTTCTTTTGTTCCGCCGCTGGCTTGGGAAGATCCTTCTTTAGAGCTTCCTGCTTTGGAGCTTCCTGCTTTTGAGCTTCCTGCTTTGGAGCTTCCTTCTTTGGAGGATCCTTATTTGGAGTTTCCTGCTTTGGAGTTTCCGCTGCTTGTGTCTTTTCCTTGTTGGTCTGAGGAGCTGGTTGACCCTTGGCCTGATCCTTGTTCTTATTTGGCTTCTCCTTGTTGCCCTGCTGATCGTTCTTCTTGGCTTCTTTGGCCTGACCCTTCTTGTTGTCCTGTTTCTCCTTGGGTTTCTCGTTGGGTTTGGTCTCCGGCGCCTTCTGTGGCTGCTTTTGATCCTTCTTGGGCTGCTGCTGCTGCTGAGGCTTGTCCTTTGGTTTGTTCTCTACCGAATCCTTTGGCGCCTGTTCTGGCTGCTTGGTGGTGGCCTCCACCTTGGCCACCTCATCGAAGTCGCCCACGAGCTGGGGCACGTCATCGTCCTCCTCGGCGGGAAGAGGTCCGTCGCCGGGTGCACCGCCCTTCTGACTGTTCATGGCGTTGGCATACATCCGCAGTTGGACGACCGTCTCCTGGCCCAGCTGGGGCAGGATGTCCGGCAGCATTTCCACCACCTTTCGGGTCTCCCCGTGACCAGTGACGGCGAAGGTGTTGGCCGACAAGGAAGCCTGCGCCTTGGGGTTGTTGAAGTGAATCACCGTGAGGTCATCCTTGATGATGTTGACCTCCTCGATGCCCGGGATAGTGCTCACCGACAGCTTCTTGAGGGAGCTCTGCAGCTTCTTGTCGTCGGTGGCCGCCGTCTGGTGCATGACCTTCTTCTTCCGCCGAGGAGTGCCCTTCCCCCCGATCCGAACCTGGGCCTGCAGGCGCTTCAGCTTCTCCACATTCATCTTGCAATCGGTATCTGGATGGATGGTTACTTGGTTAGTCTTCAATTATATTACATAAAATGGCGAGCAACCGCACTTGTTGGCCAGCTATAGAGACACGATGTGCAACTCCACGGGCGAAATCACGAATGCAGTGGACAGGCCCACGATCCGCCAGTAGAATCCAACGAATCCACCGAATCCAACGCAGCAGCAGCGCTGCTTTTATTAATATCGTGCGGCCTGCCTTTTTTTTGGTTTTGCAAATTTTTGTGAGTTTTCGCAGGCAAATCGGGGAGAAAACAAGAAAAATGTCGCCCCAGTGCTTAAAAATAGCTCCGCATTTCCCACACCAGCCGATGGCCGATGCTCTTGGTTTGCTGAAGCGAACAGTTTAGTTTGTGCGGATTCTCGGCATGAGGCGATGCCCAAGCGGCTGTTGAACCGCAGACGGCTCTCGGGATGGGATGCGAATGGGTCTGCTGATGGGGCACAGCCATAGGATGGGTTGGGATGCAATGGGATGGGATGGGTCCCGAAAATAGACCGCGAACTTTTCTCACTGCAACTTTTTTCGCTCGCGGAATCACCAGCATTGTGGGTTGCTCTTGATGAGAGAGAATTATAATAGAGGATATGCAATTTGTACTACCAGTGTCTTTCTTAAACTGCAATTGATAATATTAACCTATCTAGACACTAATGCATATCCAATTTCGAAGTAATATGTGTTATGACAGTGCATAAAATTAGGGTTTAAATTTAAAACTGTTAATTTATGTTCACTTACATGTTTCCAAATTTTGATATGCCCAAAAGATAACGATTAACGAGGAAAACAAGCTTCTCTTATTATTATTTTTGGGATTTTGAAGAAGCTAAAACTGCGATTAATAATTTCTTAAGGGTAAGGCACTCCACATTGGTTCCAAAATGATCCAGCACAGTAATTTTCTAAAATTTTTACGAGTAGAATATTAATAAGTACACAAATTCAAACAAATGTTAAAGATACATTAAAATAATTTCAAAATATAATGCTTGCATATATGAAGTTTCATACGTTTTAGCTCTGTTATATAAAAAAAATTATTCAAAGGAAACGGCCAAACAAAAAACAAATTATGCATTGCTTCATTTATTGAAGGTAAAGATACATAAAATATTCAAATATTTTGCGGTTAAGCCAAGGCCGATAGCCGTCTATCGGCAAGCAGTGCACTTATCGGCAAGCAGTGTGTTAGCGAACATTTCAGCGGTGACAACTCTTCTTGTTTTAGCTAGAATCTAGCTATTACATTAATAATTTTTTAGAGATAAGAAAATTCAAATAACAATTAAATGTTAAGAAAATACAAATATTTAAATTCAATCGTATCATTAGACAAAAACGAACCGACCAGCAACAGAAAAATAAAAAATATCCATATTCGCTACCCCTGGAAACTTTCGCAGCACCTGTAGATCAGCAGGCGTGCGTTCGAATTGTTTTGATTTGACTTGGTTCCGATGTTGCTCCGGAGATGTGTCCTGTTTCCTTTTCTCGCCGTGCGGCTGGTGCGTCGGAGTTTGCACCGCCAGCATGACCACATCGTGCTCCACCCGGAGGTGCGGCAGGCGCTGCAGCTCCAAAAGCCGGTGGTGGCCCTCGAGTCAACGATCATCACGCACGGGATGCCGATGCCGGAGAACGTCCTTACGGCGCTGGCGGTGGAGGAGGAAGTGCGGCAGAATGGAGCCATTCCGGCCACCATTGGCATTCTGGATGGACGGATCAAGGTGGGACTGACGCGCGAGGAACTCACCACGCTGGCCAAGAAGCCCCGGGAGCTGGTGATTAAGTGCTCTCGCAGGGATCTGCCCTTTGTGGTGTCCAGAAGACAGAGTGGTGGCACTACTGTGGCCGCCACAATGATCATTGCCCACCGGGTGGGCATCCGGGTGTTCGCCACTGGAGGAATCGGCGGAGTCCATCGCGATGGCCACGAGACCCTGGATGTTTCCGCCGATCTCACCGAGCTGGGACGCACTCCGGTGGCCGTGGTCTGCAGCGGCGTCAAATCCATTCTGGACATTCCCCGCACACTTGAGTACCTGGAGACGCAGGGCGTGTGTGTGGCCAGTTTCGACAGTCCTGGTGGCATCTTTCCAGATTTCTACACAAGGGACAGCGGCTGCACGGTGCCCTACAACCTCACCGGTGCCCAAGAAGCGGCGGAACTGTTGCGATCTTGGCGGGAACTAAAAATGGAGTCGGGGCTGCTGATCGGTGTCCCTATCCCAGAGGAGTTTGCTGCAGACAAATCTAAAATAGAGGAGGCCATCCAGGAAGCAACTGCCCAAGCCAAAACACAGGGAATCTCTGGCAAGGAGGTGACTCCATTTCTGCTTGCCGCCATAGCCAAGATCACGGAAGGAAGGAGTCTCAAGTCCAACATAGCCCTCATCAAAAACAATGCCAAAGTGGCTGCCCAAATAGCCGCTTCCCTTTGTGAAGTTACTACAGAAATGGATAATCCAAGCCAGAAATCCATCGACAGAAAACCTCTGGTTGTGGGAGCCTCCATTTTGGATCTCTCCTTTACAGTAGACGACCAGAACCGCGACATGAAACTGGATGGAGCCACTTACTCCGCCGTGGCTAAACAGGCAGCTGGAGGAGTGGGTCGGAACATAGCCGAGGGCATTTACAAGCTCTACGGGGATGTAAACCTGATATCCGCCGTGGGCAACGATCAAATGGGACAAACACTCCTCCAGATGATGCCAAGGGCACTGCAGCGGGGCTTGATTCTGGCAGACAGCCATAACACATCCTTGTGCTCTCTAATCTTCGATAAATTTGGGGATTGCAAGCTGATACTGGGCAACATGGAAATTCACCAGAGCATTACACCCGAAACTCTTCAGGCGCACCATCAACTCTTCCGGGAAGCTCCTCTCATTATCATGGACAGCAATATCTCCGAACAGGCGATGGCCAGCATCCTGCAGCAGGCGCAAAAGTATAAGATTCCCGTCTTTTTCGAGCCCACGGATATGTTCATAGCAGGGAAACCGTTTAAACTGCTGCCGGAGCTGACCAAGAACATACGCCTAATCAAACCGAATCTCCAGGAGCTGAAGACCATTACGGAGGCCATCACTGGCGAGCCGGTCAAATGGAATCCCGGTACCAAGCTGCCTCAGGCGGAACTCCTGCATCAGGCCAAATCCATGATCAAAAAAATAGACTGCCACTTCAACTGCATCATTGCCACGCTGAGTGACCACGGGGTGCTCCTAAGCTATCGACGGGATGCGGACATCGATGCTAGGCTGCTCTTGGACGTAAGCAAGTCCTCACAACCGCACTGTACTCGCTTCTATGCCGCTCCAATGGTTCACAACATTGTCAATGTCTCGGGAGCGGGCGATAGTTTCTGTGCGGGATTCATCACTGCCCTACTGCGAAGCTGCACCCTGGACGAGTGCGTAGCCGGGGGATTTGTGGCCGCTGAAAAGGCCCTGCAATCCGAGTCGGCTGTGCCCACGACCTACTACTCAAATCAGGAATCCTTCGAGAGTCGCTACAAGCAAACTGCCAAGATCATCCAACAGCAAAGCATTTAGATGGTACTTTACCGAAAATAACGATGGCATTTACTCAGGACCTTACCTTTATTCCTAAGTTTTTTCTTAAATGTACAAGATAAAGATTTGTCTAGTAAGCCCATCTGAAAGATGAAATTAAACCAATTAATGTTGTTAAACGAGGAACTCTTTTTGTAGAACTTACAGCTTTATGACTTTGTCCTTGCCGCCAGAGGCAACTCGAGAGCCATCCGGCGCCCAGTCCACACCAAATACCTCATCTGCATGCCCAGGCAGCTCTTGTGCAAGCTTCTTGGTCTGTACACTCCAAACTAATTGAGGAGAACATAGATTAATCCAAGTCAGAAAAAACAGATGCTGGGCTTACCCTTCAGTGTTGAATCCTTGCTACCGGATACTATCAAGCGGGAGTCCGCGGACCAGGCCAGCGTGTAAACCGCCTGCACATGACCACGGAAGGTGGCCATGTACTGACCATCGCTGGCGCGCCACAGACGCACCGACTTGTCGAAGGAAGCTGAAGCAATTAACTTTACATCCGGCGAATATTTCACATCGTTGACCACGTTCTGGTGCCCTGTCATGCGCTCCACGCACTTGTTCTGGTTGTTGCGCCACAGATAGAGGGTGTTGTCGTCGGAACAGGAAACCAGGGACTCCACCTCATCCGGGCAGACGGCCTGGTAGCGTTTCAGGGCGGACTCCTGCAACTCCTCAGCTGTAAAAGAACTAGTTTTAGTATCGCCACAGGATGTTAATGCACAGATTCAACGAATTCTTACTGCTCAGGTCCAGTTGACTCTTGGAGCGATCCTTGACCGGATGGAATGGACCCGTGCGCAGCACGTAGTCCGTGCTCAGCGCAATGTTGTTCACCCAGTGAGCGTGGCCAGAGAATGTCCGGCACAAGATGCCATCGGCTGATCGCCACATCTTCACTGTGCGATCCTTGGAGGAGGTGTATATAAGTCCCGATCCTCCCCACCGCACGGCTGTCACTGCATTCGTGTGTCCGGCGATGTTCATCAGGCACTGGCCCAGTTTTACGTCCCAGATCCGGCAATCACCGTCACCACTGGCGGAGGCAAGTTTCCTGCACTCTGGATCACGATGATACGGCTCCCAGGCGAGGCAGTTGATGTGTTTCCTGTGCCCGCTCAAGGGACGGCCCTTCTGCTGGCCCGTCTCCGGATCCCAGATGATTATGGAGCCAGCCTTGCAGCCACTGGCCAAGCGTTTGCCATCCGGAGCCCAGGCTACGCACAGAACCCACTGCTTGTGACCTGTGCAGGTGAAGTGCGGCGTCTCTGTGTTGAGATCCCATAGGCGCACTGTGGTGTCGCCACTTCCACTGGCCAGATGAGCCCCGTCCGGGCTGAAGTTCAGCGAGACCACGGCCTCCGCGTGTCCCGGCATGGAGCTCGTGCATCTGGTCACCGGACGCACTTTGAAAACAGCCTGCGGCTGGTACACAATGTCGATCACGTTCTCCGTGTCCACCGACGCCAGGTCCAGGGTGTCCTCCAGGCTCTTCTTGATCTCATCCTCCCCCACGAAGAACAGATACGGAGTGGCCTCCTCGTTTTTCAGCAGAGCGTTGCAAATCAGACCCAGTTGCTGGGTGGTAATCCCCGCCG